ATAACTCCCCTTGGGAGTGTCTGTAGCTACCCTTGGGAGGTCATGTGCATTAATTTAGTTGGGATTTACCTTTTTTTTACCCTATTTTATCTAGTAGTTGCGCTTATTAGGCTGGCTTTGCCATAGTTACACACCCTACCACCATACACTAATGCCTTCTACCTTAACTTTCAATAGTTTATTGTGATTTTGCTTGTAGCAGTGCTCGTAGCTTTCCTGCTTTAGTAACTTGTCTTTTACTTTAGTATTTTTTGTTCAGTACCCGCTTCTTTACTTTCAGTACAAGTTCTACTTTAGTACATGTTTGTTTTAGTACTAGCTCTGTTCTTACTAATACTAATTTTATTCTTTCAGTACCTCTTTGTTTTACCAGTACTTGTTTTGTTTTTTACTAGTGCCAGATTGCTTTAGTACACCATATTAATGTTTTTTTTATTTACTTACAAGTACGTTATGGCTAGCAATTGCATGGACTGCACTTGAAGCTGCAAGGTTTACCAGGAGCTGGAGCTTGCCAAGAGCTAGAGCTTACCAGCAGTTAGAGGGGTTTAGTTTAGGATTTTGGAGTTTTCTTTCTGTTTTATATTTTGGTTACTTTTTAGGAGTTTAAGTTTTAGTGTAAGTTGTACCTAAAGTATGACTGTGTGAACATCATTCTTTAATGCAATTCTTTTATTATTTTTGACTTAATTGCATTAATTAATTAAATCAACTAATTAAATAAAATTTTAATTAAAGTTAAATTTTAATTTAAAATTAATTGCTCAGCTCGTTAATTTAAATTTTAAATGTATTTTAAAATTATATAATTAAATTGGTTGCTCAATTAATTTGGTTAATTAAGATTTTATTTTGATTTTACATCGATCAATTATTCGATTACTTTTAGTTTAAAATTGAATTTGAATTTTATGAATTTTAAATTTTAATTAATTAGTTATTTAATTATGTTGATTATAATTATTAAAATATTTTATTTTAGATTAACTTAATTATTTAATATGAAATCAATTAATTAAATGAAAGTTTAATTTAATTTAAAATTAGTTAATTAATTAAATGAAGTTTAAATTTAATTCAAATTAACCAATTATTCTCCATTAATTTCTAAAAAATTTAGCAAACTCTTGATCCAAATTTGGTAGCTTTTGAGGTAATTTCAGCAGGCTCCAAGCATCCCCTTCCCGCGAGGGGAGGTTAGGGAGGACATTTGCCCTTTCGATCCGCCCATTCAAATTAAACAGACGGTTGAGGGTTTTGGGGGAGCGAATCGACCCCAAATTTAGTCTTCAACTCCCGTAATTTGACGACCGCGACACCTGTTTTAAAATTTGGCATTTTTCCTGAGATTTCGACAGCCTTTGGATGCCCTCTCACCGCTAGGGTATGTTGGGGAGGGCATTTGCCTTTTAGTTTCGGTTGACCATATCAAATCAATGACCGAGGGTTTCGGGGGACATATTAACCCCGAGATACGCTTTCGACTTCTTCGCTTTGGTTATTGGGCATCTGATTTAACAATCGCAGCATCTACTTTCTTTTTTTTTACTTATTTATTATTATTATTATTATTATTATCTTCTCCCCTCATTCACAGTCACAAGTTCAAGAGAGGTTATGGGCTCCAAAAATTCGCACCCCTGCCTCTCCGTAGCCCCTTTCTTTTTTTTTAGGTCATCAAGGAGAGTTTTATCTAGCAAGTTCTGAGGCAAATTTTCAAAAGGCAGATTAGATTTTAAATAAGACACTATTCAGAGATTTTGTCCTCATTTTGCGAGAACTTTATGATCTGAGTTCAAGTTTCCTATAGACGCAAGCCCGTATAGTTAATTGCCCCTACCAGTAACAAGAGAGAACTTTTGATTAAGTCTAGTCGTCGGACGAATATAGAGCATCTGGCGTATAGTAGCAACATGCTTAGGTACCTGCACAATCTAGATCCCCGAGCCCAAGCATGCAACTCCCCTGTCGAACTCCGACTCCTGTGTTGCCTGCGAGTAAAACAAGGCCCGAGCGGACCCATTTTTGCCTCCAACTTCCTCCCGCGAACATCTCTAGGCTATTCGGCCTTGATCCGTCCAGACCCGGCCATCGACATGCTCGTACGATTCAGCTTCCACCTCCCGTTTGTCCATCGACATCCGATTACGAAACAAGAGACTTCGCCTCTTACCCTTCTAGACCCGACGCCTCCGTCAAAGTAAGAGACCAATGGACAAGCCGCCCTCCAACCAAGTCCTGCCTCTCTCTATTTCTAAAACCCACACCCTCTCTATGTTTGAAACATGAATGAGGAGGTAATTAATAATATATATGTATGCATATAACCCCTCTCTCTATTTACGGAACCCAAGCCATACCTCTCTTGAAATTGTGAGTGTGAATGGGGGGAAAATATATTAATAATAATAGTTATTATTATTTATTATTATTATAAATAATAATAAGTAAAAAAAATAGATGCTCTGATTATTAAATTAGATGCTACAGTCAGCAAAGCGAAGGAGTCGAATACGTATCATGGGGTTAATATGTCCCTCAAAGCCCTCGGCCATTGATTTGATCTGGCCAAGCAGACCTAAATGGCAAATGCCCTCCTCAACCTCCCCTCGCGGGGAGAGGGCCCTGGGCACTGACAGGAACCCAAAATCTCAGAAAAAATGTCAAATTTTAAAACAGCTACCGCGGTCGTCAAATTGGAGGAGTTGAAGACTAAATCCAAGGTCGATTTTCTCCTCCAAAGCCCTCAGGCGTCGATTTAATCCGACTGGCGGATCAAAAGAGCAAATGCCCTCCCCAACCGCGCTGGGAGGTTGTCGAAATTACCCCGAAAAAGTTACCAAATTTGTCTCAGGAGTTTACTAAATTTTTAGAAATTATCGGAGAATAACTAATTAATTTGAATTTAATTTAAACTTCATTTAATTAAATAACTAATTAAAAATTAAATTAAATTAAATCAAACTTTCATTTAATTAATTGATTTCATATTAAATAATTTAAATTAACCCAAATAAAATATTTTAGTAATTAAAACCAACATAATTAAATAACTAATTAACTAAACTTTTTAAAAATAAATTTTAAATTCATAAAATTCAAATTCAATTTTAAACTAAAATTAATCGAATAATTGGTCGATTTAAAATCAAATTAAAATCTCAATTAATTAAAATTTTAAATTAAAATTAAGACTTCAATTTAAATTAAAATCTTTTAATTAATCAAATTAATTGAGCAACCAATTTAATTATATAATTTTAAAATGCATTTAAAATTTAAATTGACGAATTGAGCAATTAATTTTAAATTAAAATTTAACTTTAATTAAAATTTCATTTGATTAATTAATGCAATTAGGTCAAAAGAAAAAGAAATAGAGGTCATAAGACCCGCTACACGAGCTACTTTTAATAGCAATAAGACCAACTTAAATGCAGAATTACATGTATGCTACCAAAAACCCCACTAAACTAAAACCCCGTTAACCTAAAATTCAACTAGCAACTTATAATAAAGGTCGTAAGTCCAACTTAAGCTAACACACTAGGGAAAAATCTCTATGTAAAAATAACATAACCCTAAATCTTTGATAACTCGGGTCACTTTTAATAAAAGTCATAAGTCCCACTTTAATTAGCTAGGAAAAACTTTCTCATAACAAATAATGCATCCATGATAATATGGGCAACCTCTAATAAAGGTCGTAACACGTTCTTTGGGCTACTTCTAAACGAAGCCATAAGACCCGCTATACATGAACTACTTTCAATGAAAGTTGTAATCCTTGACCCAAATCCAAACTACAGGCAACTCCTAAACGGGTTTGTAAGATCTAACCTAAATTCAAACTACATGTAACTCCTGAATGAGGTCGTAAGACCTAACCTAAATCTAAACTACAGGCAACTCCGAAGTGGAGCAACAAGTCTCAAACCAAACCAAATCAACCTACATCTATTAACTTCAGTTTAGTCGGGATCCTTGAGAATAGGCAACTCATGGCTGTTAATCAGATTCTCTGGGCACTACAATCATTCAATCAACGGTTGTTAGTGTCAGTAGATTGAAACCTACGTTATACCCGAGATGACGAAACTATGAAATCTTGGTCGGGTTTACCTCCACAGCCCACAACCAAAATTTAAAATTGTTGCACATCTAAAAATTAATTCATCCTTAATCATGAGTTCTATTCTACGCGTTATGGGGGGTAATACTATGAGGGCTTGCGCTCATAAAAAGTGGAATCTCATAACTAAATAAACCTTGATGTTGTTCATCGGGGAAAATATGGTTAGTTTAAATTTCAATCTACCTTGGGAAAAAATGGGGACCTAAAGCTTGCGAAAACAGGATTTGTGTCGTAGCACCATCCTTTCCTGAGTGAACAGACAAAAATTACTTATTTTTTTAGGGTGCAAAGGTCACTAAAATCAATCATATTCTCATAACATTCCTTGAAAAATTTATCGAAATATCTCATTCACCTATATTGAATATCCTCTTCTAAGAAAAAAAAAATTATCTTTCATCTTTAATGCACTTCAACCTTACTTCTCTCTCAAAAAAAAAAAAAAAACCTTACTTCTCTCTCATTGCTTGGCTAACTTAGTTGTACATCCTTCAACATTCTTAATATCTAATATATTATATAAATCACCAAAAGCTAAATCCTATGCATCAGATATTATTTTATTAAACTCCCTACAAACCCCTTTATATTTTTCTCAATTTTATGAACTTTTATATCTAAATCAATTTTTATAACATATTTTCTTCTTTTTTTTTAATCTTTTCTTGTACATTTTAATTGCACGCTCAACTATTTTTACTATTAGAAGCTTTTCCATCAACTCAGAAAAAATAGGAAAACTAAAAGAAAAAAAAAGCACCTGATGAGTTAGGACTTGCTTGATTAATCTGTATCAGATACCAGTAGAATGGATCATTCTATTACTTAATTAGGAGGGAAATATTATGATAGGTAGAATCCTTACTCGCGATCAAAGAAATAGGAGACAGCAACAATCATCTCTTGTACCCCATCATTGTCAATATCAGCAATCACCTAACAAAACAGAGAACAAATTGAGATCATGAATCTGGAAAAAAAATTATTGTAATTGACAAAAAAAGTACATTAGGTAGCACAGAAATGTTATGCTTCATACGGGAGTGCAGAGGATATGTGAATCTACGTTCACATAATCTTCCAATTTTTCATGCTTCTCTTCAGTCCACTCTTCATCTCCCCACATTGATTCATCAACATAATCATCATAGTCATAATTATACTCATCAGCTAAATCTTCTGCATCTCCATCTCGCAACAAATCAAAAGATTGGTCAGCATCCCCTTCCAGGCTTCCATCATTTTCCACCGTAGCTTCATGCACCCCTGTATCATCCATGTTATGAATTTCAGAACTTCCCTGCTCATTCGCACTTGAGCCATTTTCAAGAAGTTTCCTCTGAGTATTTGTTGAATTATCTCCCATAGAACTTCCCAACGGCACATCATGCGAACTTGTATTTACATTCTCAAAATTTTCTGATGAAAACTGCAGGGTTTTATTGTCTCGCTGAACTCTTTCCTGAGAAACATCATGAACTGTTGCATTAACTTCATTATTAAGCAACCCAATTTTTTGACCTGCAGAAGCTGTTTGAACAGAATCCTGTTTTTTCACATTTTCATCTTTAGATCCATTCAAAGAGCCAGTACGCTCAGTTGCCAATGAACTTGCATTTAATTTGGATGTGCTTCCAGTAGTACCTGTTCAAGACATGAATCAGATAACGTATATAAGGTGACATTAATTTAAATGACCAACCAAAAGTGACGGATTAGACAAAATAACATGTTATATTTTGGTGTTACTTCCAAATTCTTACAAGCTGATCAATTCAATATATTTCTAGCGTCAGTTGAAATGACATTTAGGTTTCGTTTGGGACGGCTTTTTTATTGCTTTCTAAAACGGAGTTTTAGTACAAAATTAAAAAATTTTGTACTAAAACTCCATTTTAGAAAGCAATAAAAAAGCCGTCCCAAACGAAGCCTTAATTTGGACATGCTTTACTTGGCATGTGGAAAAGAAAATATATGATTAATATATAACAAGAGAAATTTGTAAGATATAAAGAAGAACCAAAAGGAGAAATATTATGACACGACCTCCCAGTTTGTTGAAGTTTAATTATTTTCATGCTTCAAGCAAACTATCACAAGAAATTTCTCCAAAAAAGAAGTAACAACTCATCCAGTCAGTTCAAGCAACTCAAGAAAATAATAACAGGTAATACAAGTCATCAGATTTGACATCATGAAAACATAGAAAACCAGGTGTTTGTAAAACTGAATGAACATATTAATTGATTCAAAAAACTCAAAAAAGCATAATCAAGTCTCGCCACAGCTTCTGTGTAAGATATCTTCTCAAAATGGATCCTCCCATTTTTTTCTTTAGTAGCATGAATGTCACTATGAAAATATCATCATTAGCTTAGATCCAGAAGGCAATGTTGCAGTGTCATTTCTAAACCATAAAGACACATAAGAAACATTAGTAGTTTGAGTACCTATGAGGCATTAAGAACATACCAGAAGCCTCTTTAACAAGCTGGTCATCATGAACATCTGGATGTGAACGATCCACTGGATCTGGATTCAAACCAACATACCAGTCTTTGCGAACTTTTCTCCTAGGCACCTCTAGCTTATCCATCATCAAATAACCAGAGACCCTAAGCAAAACCTAAGGTAAGCTTCCTAAAGAGAATCAGATAAAACTGAACAGATACACTTACCTGAAGAAGTTAATTATTCCATTGTAAGTTGCTAAAGCTATCTCCCTTGTACCATCCTTATCAATATCAAAAAGAAGAGGACTGGAATGAACCGTGGATTGATGAAATGCAGGCCAGCCTGCATAAAATATAGCAGCAGAAATATTTCAAGTGTATAATACAATGGAAATCCTGACATGATGAGCATAACAAATTAATTAATGGAGATTCTAATCCGCAACAATTAACAAACCTTATCCCATAGAAATCAGTAAGCTTTCTTGAAAATAAAAACTAATGATTCTAAATAGTATTTACTACACAATTATGATGAAGTAGAACGGTTAAGGTCTAGAATTACTAATGACACGTACGATGAGATACACAATAAAAAGACTAAAAATTACAACCCACATGTTACCAACAATTAACTTTAGCAAAATCAATTATTTTAAAATTAAAAAAACAGCAAGCATGCTTTTTTATCTTAAGAAATAATTTAATGGTCGTCCAAACAAGATATTTCATAATTTTAAAAAAAAAAGAAAAAACATAAAATTTCAGCAATGATCAAGTTCAAATTGCAAAAAAAAAAAAAAGATCCAACACACATCACTTATAAAATTCCAATTACAAACAAAAAAAGTGACTAAACAAATTAAAACAAGAACAAGGATACAAATCACTCAAAGAAAGAACTAAACCTCATGCCAGCTCAATGAAACTCGCTCCCGAAAGTAACCTCAACACCTATGAAGTTGTAAGAATCAGACCTATTATGTTCATTTAAACCGAATATCTATTACAAAGTGGACGAAACAGGAGATGGAACCGAGCAGAACCGCGACCCAGGTGGACCGAATGCGACCGTAGGCAGGGCTGGAAAGGCCAGTTTTCGATTCCGAGCGAATATTTGAGTTCGGAAATGAAATCAAACGACTCCTAGTGAGTCATATCTTCATTTCACTTGTTCCTTTTACGTCGTTATCGCTAAAGAGGCAAACCGAGAGAAGAGTAGAGAGGAAGGTATGTTCGTCGATTTTTTCTTTTATTATTTATGTGCAAATCATCACGTGATTTCTAATCTAGGCGAGGATGAATGTTCAATTAAAGGTAAGGGAAGAAAATCTGGGAAAAGAGAAAATAAGAATTTGGGGTTTGGAATTCTTTCTTAAGGAAAAGTAAGCAATTTAATTTAATGTTATATACTTTCATTTCTCATTTCTCTAGTTGAAGAAATAATAAGAAATACATTTTGATTTTTTTATTTTGGAAGAATCCAATTGAAATAAATTTTGGTTCGACGGTGGAGGAAGGAGAAATTGCAAGGAAGGGAAGTCTGGGTGAGGTAATTATTTTGATTTAATACAAATTTTGAGATGATAGGTATTCGAAGTTATCCTTAAAGATGTTAGTCAAATAAATGTAATGGTTTGTTTTGAAATTGTTTTGGAATTATAAAGTTGTCAAGTGCTAAATGATGAAATTAAATATTAATGTCAACCGTGGAAGATTTCATAATTGGGAGAGACGAGCACTGGAAGTCTAGTATTGAGAATTGAAGATTTGGAAAGGAATTGAACCGCAAAACAAATAATGTGAGTAATTACAATTGTGCATAGAAATTTCATTATTTTATATTCATTTCAATTCTAAAAGAAATGTTGTATATAATTGATTATTTATAATGAATGTCTTTAAATAAAAATTGATGTTCATTTAAATGTACATGTGAATGATTAATATTTTGCTTTAAACTATTATGAAAGTAAGAATGTTTATCACTTATTATGTTAATATGAATATAATATATATATATATATATATATCTTAAATACAAGTAATGGAAAGAGGAAGTGAATTTGGATGTGTATATATTTGAAAATGTATATATGATGTAAAATATATAAAGATGTATGAAAGATTTATAATATGTAAATGAAAGCATAAATGAAAAAGGGAAAAGATATATGCATGCAAATTACAGAAGTTCACAGCTGTATAGTATTGTCTGGGAAAGCAATGTGCTCGTGCAGATTAAATGAAAATGAAAATAAAAATGGAAATGGTTGTACCTTTATTGATACATTTAGACGGTGCTCGTGTATTAATGGAAATAGAAAATGAATAAATATCAAATGTTATTAAATGTATATGTATACTAAATGATATAAGAATATACATAGATCAAGTATTATATAAGTTGTAATATTATATAAGAAACGAGAAAAAGAATATGTATTGCATCTTATATATGTTTGGAGGTTATTTTAGCCATGGTAATTATCCATTGAGTTTACTTATTAAACTCATTCTATTAAATTAACTTTCAGGTAAGTCTCCTGACAAATATAAATGGCTTAAAGATGAGAGGAATATGCATAGAAAAGACGACGCTCAAATAAAAGCAGGTAAAATGTGTTTATTTTTAAATGCATATCAAATGTACAAGTAGTGTTAGTGGCTCTTTAGTGTTTGAGGAAAATTAGTCATTAATGTCACATAATTGTGAAAATTTTATTTACCATCCGACTGTTCATTCCCGCCTCGTTAATGTGAGTCTTCGGGCCCGTTCATGACAGAAGCACTCAAAAAATACATGTCCAACCAACATGAAAAAATTGGAGAAAAGTAGAATTCCTACTGTAATACTCAATGTTCAAAGATTTTTACAGCCCAAAAAGGACCAAAAATAAGAGATTACTCAAAATATGTAAATTTTATTTAAATGCAAGAGGTTTCAACACATTACTCATGACCTTCAGCATTAAACTTCCTATAGAAGGTTCAATCTTGATTTGTAAATTCCAATTCTATATTTAACGTATGACACGTCAAAATAGGTAAGTGGCACCGTTAAACAAAGAAACAATGGAGCCAAGAAATGCATGAAACAATGAGATAAGTTACAAGGATCAACAGGCGGTACAATGTGCTTAGCTGGTAAGGGAGCAACAACTGGTATAGTGTAACAAGAGTAGCAAGAACAACGATTAACAGAAAAGCGAAAAACAATGTGAAGTAATGGAGTAAGAATCAAAGGCAAAGAATGGAAAGAAGCACTAGAGCGTATAGGGAACACTATGCAAGAAAGAGTTGGGCAAACAAGCAAGAGGGAGCATCAAGTAATAGGTTAGAAAAAACTAGCAATATGAAATAAGGCAAGGTACTGCAAGTCTGCAATAGTAGGTAAGTTCCAATTCTCGTTATGGCAATCATTGATTTGAAATCATGTGCATCTTCCCTGTTATGCCGGTCCAGCTTGGACCGGCTCCACCTGGACCGGCCCAGCCGGTCCAGTTCTACCGAAGGCGGACACAGGGCCGGGCGGAAGAGAGAGGGAGCCAGGGAGTGGGGTCCACTTGCAATTCAAACATGAGCTAAGTGTTTTTGGAGGGAGAAGGAGGGGTAGAGTAGTCCTTTTGCTTTTGTTTTGAATTAGAATGCATTAAGTAGGGAGAAAGAGAGGAATGAGGGTTATGTCATGTTTTGTGAGAATTTCCTTTGTCTTCTTGGATAGTGAGGGCTCTAGATCGAAATCTAGAGATTGGGAGAGTGCGATCCTCCTCTCAAATAGAGGATCCTTGTATCTTTGCTATTTTCCTTGCGCCTACTAGTAAAATACAAGTTGTTTCATCATTTTTCTCTCAGATTTCCCCTGTTTTCTACTGTTTTTGGCTGTTTTACTGCTGTGGACAGCAGTTTTCATCTTGGATCTAACCGATTTTGGTGAGAAACACTTGGAAATCCAAGTGCAAGTGTTTCCTATCAGAATCGCTATCACAGGTTTGCTACTTGCTGTACGAAGGTTCGAGCTTAGATTTGTTGCTGTCCGAGCCGTCCAAGAAGCCACCCACTGCTGTCCAAGCTTGCGAGAAGGTTGAATCTTAACAAAGGGTGAACTCTTACCTCTTCTCTTACCTTCCTCGTTGATCCTTGTGTTTTTTATTGATTCATGCAAAATCTTGCAACGCTCCGCTAAAGCCTAGTATTTGGTAGAAAATGTATGATAGATATTTCATAGCACTACTCTTATTGTTAGAATAGGGATTTCTTGTTGAAACATATCTCGTATGCAATGTCAAGAGTAATTGATTGTTATGTGGTTTTGCTTTTCGCAAGTAACTTGTCCTAAGCTCGTGTTTACCGCACTTTGTGTTTTACTTTATTGTTTAACTCACCATAACATTTTAATTAACTTGCTCTTAATCATCAAGCGTGCAAAATCCTTATCTAAATCATAGTTTCATATATGTCTTGCATCACTAGCTTTTTTAGTTCTAGTTTTGTTGCACTTGCCACTAGCATGTCAATCTCTAGTTTTGCACGAATTCAAACAAAATAAAAAAATAAAGAATATTAATAAATTTGCTACTTATTTTTCAAATTTGAGAAAATGTCATATTTAAGGTCTAGTATGGTCAGAATGCTATAAAGTTAATATGGTAGGTATTTTTACTTATAAATTTAAATTTTACTAACTTCAGTATACGATAGCTCATTTCATTACCTAGTGATATCAACACCATACGTAGTTTCATACGATCGTTTATGCCAAAGGCTATAAATCATTCATGTAAAGTACTTAAAGATAGCTCGGGTAAATCAAATGGGTTCGAAATTTTTAGTGGTTAAAGAAAAACAAAAAGGAAATCCAAAATAGTACGCATAGGCAGAGTCAAAAAAAATTTGAATAGGGGCAAAAATTAATATTGGCCATAAAATAATTCTCAAAATACCATTTTTCTTTAGTCTAAGCACAAATCATGAGATATATTTTTAATAAAAAATTATAAAAAAATACATCCAAAATTATATTTGTTCTCGTTAAAAAGGCATAGATATATCACTTTCTATCTTATTATTCATTAAGAAATTAATATTTTTCCCATAAATTTGTTAATGAATTTAGTTCAAATAAATTATTTTTAGACTTAAGATTAGTTTATTTGAATTAATTAAATTAAGTCTTAATTTTGAACTATATTTAAATTTAAATTAGTATAAGATATTATTCTATCTAATTCTAAATTAATTGTTTATTAAATTAATTTTACACAATGGTTCACATTTAGTTAAAGAAAATCATAAATAATAAAAAATTATAAAGTTAATTTTATTAAATTAATTAATTTACTT